CACTGATATGGACAGAAGAGTTTTATATAGTTTCCGTGCAATATTTTTTCTGGCTAGCTTTAAATCAAAATTTTTCATGTTATAGATATTAGCTAGAGCTTCCTGTTAGTGACAAATTTTGGATAATTTAGATCCTATTTATTTTATCGATAAAAAAATTTTAAAAGTAATTATATTTAATTTTTTTATTATAATAAAAAATTATCATATAAAATCACATATTAATTCAAATTAAAAATTTAAATTAACGAACTAAATAGACTCTTAATTATTTATTTTTTTACCCTTTAAATAAAAAAAATTCAACTTTTTTTGTGGGTTTATTTTTTTTTTTAACACATCCTAGTTCTAACCTTTTAGCACAGCTTTTCCAGAGTCTCGCTTTTTCTCTCATTGATAACGTTGAAAACCAGCTCAACTGTTTGAAAACCAGGTGAATTACTTGCATTGTTTTCAACAAAATCAACAGTTTTTTCTTTTTTTTAAACCTTCTTGATATTTTAATATACTGATATATCAATAAAATGACATAAAAATAAAAAAAATTTATAGATTTAATTATTAAAAAAATTTACAAATTTAACCGTTAAAAAAATTTACTATGTCACTAGAGAATCTATGTTTTTTTTTTTCTTCCGGAGGAAAAATGAATGGGCGTGCAGATTTCCAAGATTTTCTTGAGGAGAAAAAAAGGTTATTTTATTGGTTTTTTGTAGTCTGGTCTAGTTGGGAGGAGATAGTACTAAATCTGCCTACCTAATTAGTACCTTTAGCAGATAAAAAAAATCAAAAACCCTTTTTATGAATACTAATCAATTTACAATTAATTAATCACCAACTCTCTGTCTTGGGCAACTGTAAATTAGGTGCAATTCAAACTATTAGTTTTTTTTTTTTTTGAATGGAAAATACATGAATGGAGTAACTAGAAGTTAATAAAAATGGATCAGTTCATTAATCTGATGCTGTTTGCAGTTGGCAGTACGACCCTTTTCTATGCATGGACCCCAGTCCTTGGCCCAACTTCTGTCCTATGTTTTGTTTGTCAGATATGCATTGGTTTACCTTTCCCTAATTTCTTTCCCCGCAAATGATAGCATTAGAGTTATTTTTAAATAATTTTGTGATAATATATTTTTTTATAGAATTTTTTTTGTGATAAGATATGAAAAATAGAAGACAGTATTGGAATGTTACAATCATAACGTATTAGGATATTAGAATATTAAATACGGTTTTAAACTTGCCATATAATATTAGAATCAAATTAAAAAAAATGCTAATTTAATAAACATTTGAGTCTTTAAAAAAAAAAAAAACACACTTGCGAGATTCTGATGATTTTTTCGTACATCAAAGGGAATTTTCCTTTTCTAATACCTTTTAAGAGAGCATGCTATATCTCGATTTTTTTTTTCTTTTCCTTGTGTGGTATTAGTATTAGATTCCTTTTAAAAGAATTGATAATTACCTTTTTGCCAGGTAGAATAAATTGAACTACCGTTATTATTAGTATGTCATTTATTTTATCTATTTAAATTTAAAATTTTAGAATTTAAAATTTAAGTTTTATTATAAAAAAAATTCTGAAAAAAAATTATATATAATTTATTTATTATAATAAAAATTCTCACTTAAAATTATATTTCAATTTAAATTAAAAACTCAAATTAATAAATTAATAATTTCTACTTTTTCTTCTTTTGTTTTCTTTGGTTAATTATAAAGTATGGTTTGCAGAAATTCCACCGTGACCTGCCCCCAACGCCAGTGTTTGCCTACGGCGAATCCAAGGAAGCCGCAACAGTACCTGGTCCCACAATAGAGGCCTTACATGGGATTGAAACGCGAGTAATGTGGCGAAATCACCTCCCTTCAAAGCACATTCTCCCGTGGGACCCAACCATCCCGACTGCCCAACCCTCCACCAAGAGAGGCATCCCGACGGTGGTCCACCTCCACGGCGGCATCGACGAGCCCGCCAGCGACGGCAACTCCAACTCTTGGTTCACCAAAGCATTTCGAGAAGTGGGCCCAACTTGGGCCCAAAAAACGTATCGCTACCGCAACCTCCAGCATCCGGGGAATCTCTGGTACCACGACCATGCCATGGGCCTGACTCGAGTCAACCTCTTGGCGGGCCTCATCGGGGCCTATGTCATCCGTGACCGGAAAGTGGAGGCCCACCTCAGACTTCCCACTGGCGACGAGTTTGACCGTACACTGGTCGTCTTTGACCGTAGCTTTCGTACAGACGGTTCAATTTTCATGAACTCCACCGGGAATAATCCTTCTATCCATCCACAGTGGCAGCCCGAGTACTTCGGCGACGCCATAATTGTGAATGGAAAAGCTTGGCCTAAGATGACAGTACGACGTCGTAAATACAGATTCAGAATCATCAACGCCAGCAATGCGAGATTCTTTAGATTCTTCTTCACCAACGGTCTCAGATTTATCCATGTTGGATCCGATTCGGCATACATTGAAAAACCAGTGCGTAGTAAAGACACTTTGTTGGGGCCATCTGAGATCACAGATGTCATTGTTGACTTTTCAGAGTCAAAGAGTAAGAGTGTTATTCTAGCCAATGATGCACCGTATCCTTACCCGTCTGGGGATCCTGTAAATGAGGCTAATAGTAAGGTCATAAGGTTTGATATCCTTAACCATCCGGAGATTGACACGTGGAGAATTCCTAAGAGGTTGATCCGTTATCCGAAGGCGGATCTATCAGGTGTGACGCGCACACGGTACATAGCTATGTATGAGTACACGAGCAACATCGATGAGCCGACTCATCTTTATCTAAATGGGAAGCCATATGAGTCGGCTGCGACAGAAACGCCGAAGGTGGGGACCACAGAGGTGTGGGAGGTGATCAATCTAACGGAGGACAATCATCCGCTGCACATACACTTGGGGTTGTTTGTGGCGTTGGAACAAAAAGAGCTACTCAACGTGGAGGAGTTCAAGGGTTGTATGACTAGATTCAATGACGCAATCAGGTGCCACATAGGCAAGTATGCACGTGGCAAGAGTGTGAATGTGCCGATCCATGAGAGAGGGTGGAAAAACGTGTTCAAGATGAGACCTGGTTTCGTGACGAAAATTCTCGTGAGATTTGCTTACATACACTCACATGCATCATACCCGTTCGATGCGACCGCAGAGCCTGGTTACGTGTACCATTGCCATGTAAGAACATCCTCTCTCTTTCACCTTTTTAGTTCATGAGAACCCATTTTGGTGATTGCCAAAGTAAAACACATGTTCATATATTTATGCACTTAGGTTATTATGAACCTTAAAGTGTTGTGGAAATATGATTTCTAAAAAGTTGGTTTTATCATTGGCTCTCTCTTTTCACCGTTTAATTAAAAGCACATCTCTATGCATATAAAAATAGAATCTTTTTATTTATGCTAAAAGAGTCTTTTTAATTGGTTCTACACTTGTGAAGATATCTGAGTTGTGGAAGTAGAAGGAACCTCTTTTTCTTAACCAAAAAAGGAACAGAGAAAAGACTAGAGAGACTTGGTTTTGATGATGAATTAAGGAACAGGGTAAATGACAAATTCATCAAACTGAGGAAATCAAGAAAAATCGAGGTAGAAGTTAGAAACTTGCTTAATGCGTATCCCAATAAGGTAAAGAAATCACGGGTATGCACTTGAGTGTCCAATAATTTTGTGCAGAAAGAAACTGAAAAAAGCTTGCGAATCTATCCATATACAGCCGAATCCGGCCTGTGGCTAGTGCCTTGGTTCTAGGTTCCAAACGCAATTCCGAGAGCCATCAATTTCATCATCTTCCAAAGGGGTTATATTTCTCTATAGAGCATTCCTATTTGTCTCTATCAGGTTATATCCCCATCAAACATAGGATCTGGGCTCCACTGGTGGGGTCTATGTGAGTCTCACTTTGTGGGGCCTACTTCTTCTGTCTATGATTGGAGATTAATCACTGTTGGAATGAAAAAGCATTTTTCATTTTTATATATTCTACAAAGGGAATATATTTCTATGAAATTCTTTAAATTTGATGGTCGTTTATGAATTTTTATTTATATGCAGATATTGGATCATGAAGACAATGCGATGATGAGACCCTTGAAAATCGTCAGTTGAGAAGGCTAGAGAAGTAATCTTAATTTGTACAAGCCTTGTAAAAAAATTGGTAACTAAGTGGAACGTTTGTCTAATTTTTCAAAGCTCAAATTAAAATTTTCACCTTTCTAATTAATTTTGCTACACATTTCCGTTTGATTATATGCAGGACTATACGGACACAATGCTTCTCCAATCTCTGAGGGGCTGTTCTTTTGTCATTTTTGAGTTAGGTGATTTGAACGTATACACATTTCCGTTTGATTATATGCAGGACTATACGGACACAATGCTTCTCGAATCTCTGAGGGGCTGTTCTTTTGTCATTTTTGAGTTAGATGATTTGAGCGTAGATTTTAAATTGAGTTTAAGTTGTAACTTGAGTTGAAGTTGTAATTTGAGTTTGTGTTTGATTGTTTACATTTGAGTTATGGTTTGAGATAAGAGTCTTTTTGAGTTTGTGTTTGAGTGAGTTAAAACTTGAATTTGTATTTAGATAGTATTTTAATAAAAACACAATTCTGATGAAAAATTTTAATAGGTATATGGGTGAGGTTTTATTCGTCTTTTTGTTGTCAACGCATAGAAAAAAAAATCATCTCAATCAGAATTAAAACGAAAAAGTTATAATATTTTTAAGAATAGAAAAAATACTGTTCATTAATTTGAATTCGAGTTTCTGGCATCGAGTTAAAGGGAAAACTTAAATTCGAGTTTTAATCTCAAATTCGAGTTCAAACTTAAAAGAATATGAACTTAAATAAAATTATTACTCGAATTATTATTATTTTTTTTAGTTTTTGACTAAAAAAAGAGCTGACGAACAGCCTCCGAATAATCCGGTGATCTTGCTGGAAGGATAACCTTAATGCCGGGAATTAGTGCATAACTCAATGCATGTTATATATGTTTTGTTTTTTCGTTTCGTTTCGTTTTGTTTTATTTATTTATTTATTTATTTTAGCTTAAAGACATGTTTAAGATATGTTTGCGATGCGGTTTTGCAAAAGGTTGCTTTGAGAAAAACCCGAATCAAGTCCACCCATTCTAATAATCCAACATATTGTTTCTCTATCGTAGAAAAGTTAGATTGAACAACTTAAACATTCCTAATATTTCTTTTCTGGTATTAATGTTGACAAATCTGGCAGTCAAATGAACAATGAATAAAAATAAAAATAATATAGATACAAAGTATTTTAAGTAAAAAACTCTCCAAAGAGACGGGAAAAAATTATGGGACAAGTGTATAAAGATTTTATTATGAAAAATGAGGATTATAATATTCTCTCTAAATTACACGGAGAGAACAATAAAAACCGCTCTCTCATTTAGACATGAGAAATAGCTCAAAAAAAAAAACTGGAGAAACTAAGGGCGCGTTTAGAACTCGTTCTAAAATGATTTTTTTAATATAAAAATGAAAACATTTTTAATTTTAGACAGAAATCAGTTTTAAAAATACGTTTGGTAGTTTTATCAAGAGATTGTTTTCAGTATAAAAAACTCATTAATGTCTTTCTCTCTCTCTTTATGCTCGAGAAAGGAGAAAATGAAAACAAAAAATGAAAAACGACTAAAAGTCATTTTTCATTTCTCTCTCATTTTACACTAAACTAAAAAATCGTTTTCATTTCCGTTTTTTGTCTTTACTGCGTCAAATGTTGTTTTGAAAACGTTTTCATTTTTTCTTTCTCAAAAAACGTGAAAAATAAAAATGGGATCAATTCTAAATACGGCCTAAATTTCTCTCACACTATGAGAATTCTCTCTGAAGTGTGAGAATGAGATGCAAAACTCAGAAAGAGAGGAGCTCTATTTATAGCTGAGCTCCCCCTCAAATCTCAGCACCGAATTTGGTGCTGACTTCCCCTTTCCCTCTTTCCTTTTTTTTTGTCTTCTTTCCTTCAAAAGTTATGGTTGCCTTTGGCTTATTAGGCAACACTTACATTCACCTACTTAGAGATTTGATTGAGAATCAATCATGTCTCCACACTATCCTTTCTACCTTGTCACTGTCATGTTGCTTACGTTTCTGCTAGGCCACACGAGAATCTACATCATTTGAACTTGTCAATATTTAGTGGCTTGGTCAACATATCTGCTAGGTTCTCTTTAGTGTGAATCTTTTGCATATCCACACTTCCTTCTTCCACTACTTCACGAACAAAGTGAAATTGAACTCGTATGTGCTTCGTCCTGGAATGAAAGGCTAGATTCCTTAGAATGTGCCAGGCGCTCTGGCTGTCACAAAACAAAACAATCTTCTCTTCTTTGTGCCCGAGCTCCTCCAATAATTTTTTTTTATCCAAATTGCTTCCTTGCAAGCTTGTGTAGCCATCACGTATTCTGCTTTCGTTGCAGATAACGCTACAACTGACTGCAGTTTCGAAACCTAGCTTATAGCTCCTCATGTAAGTGTGAACACATAGCCTGTAGTGAATTTTCTTTTATCTAGATCACCTGTAAAATTTGAGTCCACATAGCCCTTGATAATAAACTCCGCTCCTCCATAACATAATGCAGCACTTGAAGTACCCTTGATGTATCACAGGATCCTCTTAATAGTACTCCAATACTCTTTACCAGGATTCACCATGTACCTACTAATTGCTCTCATTGCTTATGCAATGTTTGGTATTGTACAAATCATAGTGAACATTAAGTTATCCAATGTTGATGCATATAGTACTTGAGGCATCTTTTTCCTCCCAGCTTCATTGCTAGGACACATCTTGAAGGATAACTTGAAATTAATATAAAGAGGGGTAGAGATTGGCTTACAATCTTGCATGTTGAAGCGCTGGATGACCTTCCTCAAGTAATTCTTGTGAGAAAGCCAAATCTTCCTATTACTTTTGTCTTGGTGAATTTGCATCCCTAGAATCTTATTTATTGGTCCTAGGTCCTTAATATCAAATTCCCTAGCCAACTGTGCCTTCAATTCTTGGACTCGGTTTTTGTTAGGGCCTGCGACCAACATGTCGTCCACTTATAACAGTAAAATGATGAAATCTCCATCACAAAACCTCTTGAAATATGCACAAGGGTCTACACTAAGTCTGTTGTACCCAAGGCTCATAATATAGGAATCAAATCTCTTGTACTAATACCTCGATGCCTGTTTGAGACCGTATAAAGGTTTGTTCAACTTGCAAACCAAGTTATCTTTTCCTGCTTCTGCAAAGCCTTCTAGTTGGAGCATATAAATCTCTTCTTCAAGATCTCCATGAAGAAAAATAGTTTTCACATCTAGCTGCTCTAAATGTAGGCCAAACGTAGCACACATCGCCAAAACTACTCAAACTGTAGTGAAAATATTTCATTGAAGTCAATACTTTCTTTTTGAGCATATCCTTTCACCACTAATCTTGCACAAAATCGCTCCACTTGGTCATTACTATTGCGCTTGATCTTGTAGACTCATTTGTTTTCGATGGCCTTCCTTCCTCGTGGTAGCGAAACAAGATCCCACATCTTGTTCTTGTATAAGGCTTCGATTTCTTCTTGCATTGCTGCCATCCACAGGGATACATCTGGGCTTTTGATTGCCTCATAGAAAGTTGATGGCTCTCCATCCTCTATTAAAAGACAATATGCAATATTGCCTTCATAATCTGAATGCCAAACCGGTGGTCTTCTCTAACGAGTTGACCAACGAATTTTGAAAGCCTCGGACTCGATTGGTTCTTGAACTTCGTGCTCTGGTGTTGCTTTAGAAGAAACTAGATCTTCATTTGGCTTATCTTCCACCTGAACTGTAGTCGTCTCTGACTTCTCATTTAAAGTGCTATCATCTCCATTTTCTTGCAGTTTATCCTATGCAAATATGACATCTCTGCTGATGACAATCTTGTAGGCAGTGGGATTCCCCTTAACACTATCAGCATACCCAAAAAAAAAAACACTTTCTGAATTTCAGATCTAACTTCGATCTTCCTTGTCATTGTACATGACGTAACAAGACTTCCAAATGTACGTAACTGAGAGTAATCAGCTGGCTTACCAGTCCATATCTCCATTGGCATTTTTAGATCAATCGCAGTTGATGGAGACCGATTAATCACGTAATAGGCGATTTTGACTGCTTCAGTCCAAAATGACTTGGCTAGACCTGAAGTCATCAACATTGCTCTTATTATATCCAATAATGTTATGTTCATCCGCTCTGCCACTCCATTTTGCTGAGGAGTGTACGCCGCCATGAACTACCTCTTGATGCCTTCTTGTTGACAGAATGCATCAAACTCATCACTTGCATATGCTCATGAAAATCAAAATACGACAAATCTTTAGAAAATTAAAAATTATAAAAAACCAAAATCCGGTTGGCACTAAAGCAAACCGAATACTTTTAGAAAAGCAGGCCTTAGCTACTGATATCCATTATTGTTATATACTTTTTGAGTTCTAATAAAATTTAATAGGCTTTTTTACGAACACTCTCTGTTTTGAATTCAACATTTTAGTCTTTAATCTTTTTATCCTAACAATTAACTCCTAAATTCTTTGCAATTAACACAAAATTCAAAACGACATTAGAGTTCTCATGAATGCAGTCACGTGAAACGGACATGACTAAGTTTTGAAGGCAACTAAGCCCCCATTTGTTTCACTGATTTAGTTCAGTTCAACTCAGTTTGAACAGTGAGCACAATTTGAATTGGTGTTTAGCAAGCATGTATTTTGAATAATATTTCCCATTTGAATTGAGTTAAACAGTCCAACTTAAAGTTTAGCTCACACTCAAGTTCAACTGTTCAAACCATTTTTAAATAGTAAAAGTTTTTAAAGTTCATGGGCAAACTAATAATGACCCTAAATTTCAGGGGGCATCCGTGATAATAATCCTTGTATATGTCATTGTTCAAGAAGATTGTATGTTACATTTTAAAGATTGAGAGACAAAATATTACAAGGGGTATGATTTGAGAGACTTTTCATAAATTAATTCAAGGGATCTTAAAGAAAAAGGAAGGTAATATATTGATGCTTAATATTTTTTGTATAATAAATTTCCGTAAGCGTACGGTGTCAAGTTTTGAGTATAAGGTGAGTGAGTATTGTCTCCACAGAGATTGGGTTTAGAATTGTCATTAAGTACTGCGATCATTGTAACTTAACTTTATCTAGGCAACCAAATAAGATGATGATTAAGAACTAAAACAAAATAAATATAAGAAAATAAAAATAAAGTATCTATACACAAATAGTCTAGGGACTTGATTTCGCTTTATTATTCCTATGTTTATCCTATTATGTAATCGCTAATCAATTCCATTCAATTCATTAATCAAGGTTCTAATGTCACCTCGCAACCTCTCTCGAGTGCCTCACAAGGAATTGTATTTAAATACCCAAAACAATATCCCTATTCGAAATGAATATTAAAACGCAAATTAAGCTTCACCTTTAGAATTAGAAAATAGGAATATTGATCGCCTATCGGCCTCACAACGACCTAAATCCTAATTTGATTATCTAACCGTTGATCTCCTCTCGGTCTCACAACAACCTAGACTATGTTTCTCAAATCTAGATAAAGAACTCAATCTCTCTCGAGCATCAAATTCGCAATCTAAAAATCATCTAACTCATTGGCCAAATAAATTAGAAGCATTAAGCATAGAGAAACATAAATGAATTGAAAACGAAATTAAATTAACAATCAACAAAATATTCAAAACATAGTTCAAATAAAACTACATCAAGTCCTAGATTTAATGTCTAGCTCAACATGGAAAAATAGATGGAAGAAGATAAAACCCAATATCCATTGAAGAGCTTCCAAGGACCTCCAAGATGAAGGATTTTGGCCTCCTTTTGATGTTTTCTTCAGATTTCCGGGCTCTCATTCTCAAGTGGCATCTCTTTCATTTTATACTACTCAGTTTCGGAGCTAGGGCTTCATACGCGCGCTGCAGCCTGCGTGAAAACGCGCTGCGGCATGCGTTTTTGGAAGAGGATCCCGTTGTTGCGGGCTGGGGCGCGCTGCAGCGCGTAGGGCATGCATTTGGGCGCGCTGCAGCACGCGTTTCAGCTTTGGGTGCGCGCCTGGGTGTGGGGCGCGCGCGCGGCTGCGCGCCGCTGGATGTGGGCGCGGGCGCGCGTCCCATTCTGACTTCGCTCTCCTTTGCGTGCTGTAGCCTGCTTTCTTGCATTCCAAAGCCTCATCTTTTGTGCCTTAAAGTCCTCTTTCACCTCCTTTTGGCATTGATTCACAAGTTGGGCAAATATTCTTCTTTTCTTCATGCAAAATCATCCAAGTTCGCATTTATTCATAATTCCTATAAAAAGCATACAAAAGACATTAAACTAACAAAAATGCTTGAAGACTTACAAATATTCATGCTTGAAAGTACTTGATTTGTTGGTAGAAATACCCGTTATCATATATTTATCAAAAAAAGAAGTTTCTCTAGTAGTCCCTGCAAAACTAGATTACCGGTAATTCTTTACTTTTCAGCCATCAAATTTGTATCAGACTCTATATGTTCTACATATTTTTTTAATCTGATGCGATTTTAACCAAATATAACGGTAACAAATTAGGACTACCGGAGAAATTCTAAAAAAAAAGAGAAGCCTTTACGGTGAGACCATTTAGAAAAACCCACCGGTGTAACACCCTGTTTTAATTGTTGGATTAAATTTTTAACGGTCAGATCTGCGCATGTCCGTATTAAAAATTTACAGCGCGCTACACAGAACTGTTCCTTCTATAGATCTGATTGTTGTTAATCTAACGGTCAAAATAAAGAGTTCCACCGATAAGTTTTTTTAAGGGTTCTCACAGTAGAAAAGGCCAAAGAAAAAAAAGGTTAGAAGATGTGTTTATTCGAGCGTCGAGGCAAAATAAAGAAAAAACAAAAACAAAAAGGAAAAAAAAGGGTCAAAATCATCGGGTCATCAAAATTCAATTACACAGTGGGCTGTTATCCCAATTATTTTATCACAGTTGATATGGCTGGTTTTCATTGATAAAAGGACAAATTTTATAAATTCTCCATGAACTTTGTCATTTGTGTCAATTTGCCCATTGAACTTTAAAATGTGCATGTTGTGCCCCTCGAACTTTGTCACTTGTGTTAAAATGCCTCATGAGGTTAACTTTGTTAAGTTTTTTAACAGAAATGCTTATAAACACCCTCTAAACTTTGTAAATTGTGCTAATATGCTCCCTGAGCTTTAAATGTACATGTTTTGCCCCCCTGAAATATTATATGTCTCTAACTTTTCTCCATCCATCTTGATTCTATCAGTTTTTTGAATGAAAATGTTGATTTAACGTTAAATTGTTAATTATCTATGATATTTGACCATTAAAGTCGGTTAAGTAATGAGTTTGTTATAGGACTGTTTGTCGGTTTAAAACTGACGAACCGAACATACCACTTCAGTTGTGAAAAAAATGAAATCGAAATAGAATTGAAGAAGGGAGACTTTGGTCGGTTCTTCAGTCGGTTGGCAGTCAACATCGGTTCTACGTTTTTTTAACAGCCCTAGTTTCTTAAGGTTTGTGTTGATTTTTTTTTAAAAAGGTACAATAAAATAAATTAATCTGAACGCATTTAAATTTAGAAGTGCTATATATGTATAAAGCATAAACATGTTTTATGTCAAACACATATATCTGGGTGAGATATTAAAAAAAATAACAAAATTCATTACATTATACAAATTTGCTGATCATTTTTCCATTTTTACTGCCTCTAATCAACTAATGTTTTGAGAATTGATGCTTAATTAATATTTTTAGAGGAGAAAGTATTCAATAAACTTCAAATATCATAAATAATTAGTAATTTAATGATCATATCAATATTTCCGTTCAAAAAACTGATAGAATCAAGATGAAGGGAAAAAATTGGAGATATATGATAAGATTAGTTCGGGGGCAAAACATGTATATTTTAAAATTCAGTGCCCATTTAGTTCGCTGATTCGAGTTGAGATGTAACGTTATGTGAGAGCTTTTTACTGTAACAAAAAAGTTAGATGTGACTGTTTCTGAGAGTTTTTTACTATAACAAAACTCGAATTCTAAACTCAAATCGGTGAAATGAACGGAGCCTCAGGAGGCATATTGACATAAGTGATAAAGTTCATGGGACATTTATAAGCATTCTCGTTAAAAAACTTAACGGAATTAATCTTAAGGACATATTGACAAAAGTGATAAAATTCATAGAATACAATATATATATTTTAAAGTTCATATAACATGTTGACACAAATAATAAAGTTGAGAATGAATTTATAAAATTTATCCTTAATAAAATTACGTTTCCCATTAAAAAAAAAAAAAAATTCCGCGGTGGGCTTTTGTCCATCTCTGTTTCCTCGACGGCGCAACAGATAGAACACACTCTGTCGCTGGGAAATGACTGTCCATCTGAGCCGTCCATTTCCCTCGTCAACCCTCCAAAATCAGGTCTTCAGCAAATCCAGACCGTCCACTAGCCGCACCATCTCATGCTCGTGTCTCAACCGCTCCACAAAGGTCGGAGCTTCAATCTCTTCAATCTCACTCCTTTCTCTCTCCGTTTCTCTCTCTAATGGTTCGCATTCGGATGTGCAGTTTAAGAAAGACTACACGAGCGTGATGATAGTCCCGACCGGAGTAGGAGCCGCCATCGGAGGATACGCCGGCGACGCCTTGCCGGTGGCTCGCGCTCTCTCCTCCGTCGTCGATTGCCTCATTTCTCATCCCAACGTATTGAAAAATTTCGCGTCTTTTTAGGTTTTTTTGCTAACATTTCGTGCTTTACAAGCAACTAAATTGTTAGTGTTTTTTCTCTCTCTAAAATTGTTGTTGTCTCAGGTTTTGAACGCAGCTATGCTATACTGGCCAATGCCTAATGCGTTGTACGTTGAAGGATACGCTCTCGATCGATTCGCCGAGGGTTTATGGGCCCTACAACCTGTTCACCAAAACAAGGTCTTTTTTTTTTGGGAATTAATTTTGTTTTGTTATTATTGTTGTTCTTTTGTTTGTTTGTTTCATCAATGTTTTAGTTATGTGATATGTCTTGTGTATGTCTGAGAGGCAAAAGATCAAGCTTGTTTGTTAGAAGGGAAAAGAGGAGGAAATAAATTGGGCTAGGGATTTCCAATACTTTGTTCGATTGGATTGGTGTTTTGTTTGTGGATTGAATTGAGGTTTTGTTTGTTGATTGAATTGAGGTTTTGTTTGTTGGGAATCAGGTGGGATTGGTTCTTGATGCTGGAATAGAGGAAGAGCTTCGATTTCGACATTTACAAGTGGCCGATGCTGCGAGGGCTTCCCTTGGTTTGCCTGTTGTGGAGTATGTTGTTACTGATGCGCCTTTGGAGGTACTTAAGTTCATTTTAGCTGGATAAAGAACATGTGAATTTGATTTCTTCATTCTTTATCTGTTTTTCCTCATGCCACTTAGACTGTTTTTCATGTAAATTGCTTGGTTCAGCTTTTTCTTTGAGGTTCATTGCTGAACTGGTTGGACAATTTACCGATAATTCCTTAAAGTTATGTATTGATAAGACAGTGGATTAAGCGATTGCTAACAAACGGATAGGAAACTTGCGGTGAAATATATGTGCCTATCACGTTAGATGAGGAATGAGGTTGAAGTTGCGCAAGTTCGTACAAGAAGAGAATTATGACTTACATGTCATTAGGACTACTAAAATATGCTATAGCCAAAGTCTTTGAGATATTTTATTTTAGTAGCAAAATATGGAAATGACCTTCTGCTGTTGTTTACAATTTGTTGCGAATGTATAATTACGTGCTTAATGGTGTATTGTTTAGCAAAGAAAAAGAAAGCTAATAATTTTATGACACTGTGGCGGCAAAAGATTTGAATGGGATTAGTTTTACAGGTAGAAATGTGGGCTAATCCAAAGAGTGGGCAATCAACAGGGAGAATTAAGCACCCAGATGCATTGCTGAGAGCTGTGCAGAGTCTAGTTAATCTATCCGGAGTGGATGCCATAGCAGTTGTTGGACGCTTCCCAGACGAGGATATTCAGGAAACAGATGATTATCGACAAGGGGTGGTATGCCACGTTTTCTGTATGATCACCATGTGAAAATGTTGTGAATTTTATATTGCAGATGTCACAAAGTTGTGGTAAAAGCCCTTTGTGAGTCTCCTTTTGTGTCAAGTACATGTGAGCCTTTTTCTTTCTTTTGGGAAAAAAAAAAAAATGTCACCTATCTTTGTGTATTATACGAATGATCAGTAAGGAATACAATAAGGTCTAAACATTTGAGGATAGAGGAAACATCTGATGTCGCCAATCTTTCTTTTGTCTCCTTTGTTTAACACCTACGCCTTTCCTTTTCAAATTGGAGATGCCTAACATAAGTCTTGGTGAGCTTCACTCACATTTCAGCTAAGTGCAATTAGCTTCAAAAGAATACTAGTGAAAGACTTCTTTTCAGCTCTGGATTGTTTTTAACTATAAATTTGTGATTATGGTTGTCACTAAATATGGCTCATTGACGATTGATAGCAACGTCGACAGCTAATTCTCTTCTTTCCTCGAGACATTTGATAATGATTAACATGAAAATATATATATATATATATATATATATATTATAGTGCGATT